AAACCCAAGTAGAGCACTTGCCTCATTGATCGTATTTGATTAATCAAACGGGTGAGATTGTATCGATATCGATTGGTTCAGAACATAAACAGCCTTAAAAGTCAATTGAGTAATCTGACGGCACTGGTTTTTTTTTTTTGATAGATTTTTTATTAGCATGAGTACTAATTGGACGTATTTCTACCAAACAGACCTATGTGGAGGTGAGAAATATGGGGTGTGCTCGTTAGTTCTCTTCGCGTAAGAATGAATGGGAAATATAAAGCGCCAGTGACGTCAGCGGAGATGGATGCCCTCGTGCGGCTCGCTTCGTTGATCATTAACTCATGAGCCCTGTCCACAACGCTCTCTGGCCATGCCCGCGGCCCATGAATCCCGCATTCAGTTGGCACATAGGTCTGTTTGATAGAAGTAACATCCCGCTTTTCCAATTCTTCAAAAGGAATCACGCCCACTTTTACATTGCTTCTTATGCAGCTTCAACGAGCACACCCCATATTTCTCCCCTCCACAAAGGTCTGTTTGGTAGAAATACGTCTAATTGACCAATAGTAATGAAATTGCTCGTTTTCAACTTTTCTGATTAATATCCTAAAATTTTGGTTTGAGGTTATGTTCTATCGTTTGGAGCCAAACGCATAGAGTACATAGATTCGTAATGTAAGTGGGAGAGCTGGCGCCACTTTCAAGCATTTTTCAGGTCCCGAATTTCGAGGCTCCTGTGTGACGCCGGGTCACTTTTTCGATACTTGATCGATTGTTTGCGATACACATGTACCTGGTCATCCAATGTAAACAAAGAAGATGGGGATCATTACGTATTTCACACCGCCATTGTGGATGGAACATGTATCGAATAAGTGACCCGAACTCGGCGCACACCGGTCTCGAAACTCGTCGAGCAGAACATGGCGCCAGCTCCTCATTTACATTACGACTCTATGTACTCTATGGCCAAACGATACATCGAACCACCATCGAATACGATCCATAAGTTTACCAGAGACAAAAGACCCCCCCTGCCATCGCTATCTTGAGAAGGGTGGAAGCCCTTACTTTCGGGATTCTAACATGCAACTGAGACAACATGGCACCTTCTCAAGTATCAACATCTACAACAACTGTTAATATATGGACGTATTTCTACCAAACAGACCTATGTGGAGGTGAGAAATATGGGGTGTGCTCTAGAAAGATGCATAAGAAGCAATGTAAAATTGGGCGTGCTTCCTTTTGAAGAATTGGAAAAGCGGGATATTACATTCTATCAAACAGACCTATGTGCCAACTGAATGCGGAACTCATGAGCCGCGGGCATGGCAAGAGAGCCTTGTGCACAGGGCTCATGAGTTAAAGACGAAGCGGAAGCGGGACGTCGGCGGATCCATCTCCGTTGACGTCACTGATGTTTTATTATTCTCATTCACTCTTACGGCCAGAGAACTAACGAGCACACCCCATATTTCTTACTTGCACATAGGTCTCTTTGATAGAAATACGTCCATATGATGACCTCAAACAATAAAACCCAGAATACCAATAGTTATCATAGCATAAATCATTCCTAATCTTTCTAAGACTTCAAGTTTACCAGATTCACTTCTGAATGCTATACAATACCTACTTACCTACTCGGTGGATGGTGAATAACGTGTTGGATATTCCGTTGCGCAAACATACCGAAGTTTGGGAAACGTGTTTGGCTCATTACGTCACCCGAAGCTCATCATCTACCTCCTAGGTGGGTCTTCAGACCGAGAAAGGGTGATGACTGTTGCTCCCTCATAATTGTCCATGCGGAAGTATTGAATCCGCGAAAGCAAAAGTTTCCACCTGTCGCCAAGAGGTCAGTGGAAGGTCACTTGTGCCATTGACGGAACTAGGAATTTTATGTGGGGGGGGGGCACAGAAGGATATATGACTTGGGCTACTGGAGGTCTGGCGGGACTCCCCCAGCTGCAGAGGGGGGTTCGAGGGACCTCCCCCGGAAAATTTTTGAAAATTAGAACGCCTTGGGAGCAATTTAAAGCCATTCTCAATGACAAATTAAATGGAATTAAATATTATAGATGACAGAAATTTTTTGACAGAGGTTTTTTGACGCAAAAAACCACAACCGGATACAGTCAAACTGCATTCCATGTTCCTTACTCGGAGGAAGCTGCTCTTATTGCAACTAATTTTCATTTTTCTGACATCTTTGATCGATTACATTAGGATTAAGCCCATATTTATTATTCCATATATGCTTTTTTACCTCAAAGTTCATTAGTAGCTTGGGTTCGTGACATTTTTGGAAGGGGCCGAGCAGCATTGTGGGGGGGGGCGGCTCCCCTCTCCCGGCCCCGGCCCCCGGACGAATCAAGATGGCAGATCCTCTGTCGCAGTCTAAGAATCATAACCTTATTTGGCGTGGACAATAAAATTAAAATATTGAAATAATTATGGAATTAAATACCATAATCTTTTAATTTCTTTATAATGATATTGCAAGTTTTTTATATCATTTTGTAAAAAAAAATTCGATTTTAAAAGATCGATAAAATGAGTTCAATGTGTGAGAAAGGTAGGAAATTTGCAATGCAAACCAAATCGCATACCACTTTAATTTTTTTGCGGTGAACTCCACTAAGAAGAGCCCCTTCAATCAGCAAGTAGACAACACGCAGAACATCCCGGCGCGATAAAAATAATTATACTACTTTTTGAAATCAGGAACTAAAATGTCTTGCTCATCTGTACAAAAGTATATGTTTAAAGAAGATCTGATGTTGGATAAGTTATTTTTAAACTAAGCCAGAAATTTTGCAAATTGCAATCGCAAAATGTAGTCCACTTGTATCACGTAATTATAATCTGTGCTGATCAGGAAGAGGTCGTTCCCTAAATGAAGGAACGGAACTAGATTCCAACGTCGTTAACTTTCCTTTTACACTTTATAGTTTTACTGGGACATTTTTGAAAATGCTCCATCAAAAATTTCACGTATTTTTTCGACGACTTATTGTCAAACATCAGTGAAGTTTAGGACAATTTTTGATCTATTTTATAATTTTTGTGTGAACGTACTTTTAAAGGTTTAGACCGTGTGAGGAGATATGACAGTTTAAATATTGAAATCATAAAGCTTTCTTACATTTTAGAATTTATTAAAAGTATTAATGTGATACATAAAGAATAACTTTTGAAACTAACACATTTAATATGATAAAGAAGAATAAAAAAAAATATGTATACATATAGTATTATCATGAATATCAAAACTAAGATTATGGTAGCATTCACAAAGCCTCATTTGTGAATTTTCAATATTACGAATAAGCCATTGAACATGCATTAATTTTTTTAAAAATGTTTGATTTTTTTAAAAATAGATACAATGTAATGGTACGCCAACGGTGCAACGGCTCTCGCAAAGTAACTTTAAACCCTCGTAATTTTAAATAATCTATTAATTTTGCGTAAAAAATTATAATTTCGAAATAAAAGTCATTTAAAAAAGTCTTATGAAAGCCATAAGCTAAAAAAAGATCAATTATGATTTCAATAATATTTTAGATTTTTCAGTTGTCTTTGATGTAAAATATTAACTCAGTATCGAAGAATGCGTTGAAAGAAGCTTTTAGATGAGAGTCAGAGTTCTTTAGCGAAGTCTGGAACCTCCCAGTTTTATTGCAAATCGATGGCCAAAGTGCAAAACCACGTATCTTTTTTTGCGATATTGCAGCCTTTCTGTCTTTCACGGTTTTCTTGACAAACACGTTAACGTAATCCATCGAAAACTTCCTTGATTTTTTAGCTTAATCAGCAGAATATTCTGTGAAAATTTCAAACCATGAAGTTGGGTTGTTTCTTCTCGAAAAAATAATATATAAACGGGCATTTTGAAACACCGCAATGTAGTTACACGGTTTCGCACTCTAGCCATCGAATTCAAGAATTTATACTTTCCACCGTCCACCAGTTATTGCGTTAAAAAATTTTCTATTATGCAACATAACTTTTTTAATCATGTGTTATTGAAAAAAATCACTGATTTCGGGGTCAGATTTTTGCAGTTTGACATGGTGGATTTTTCTCGAAACAAACCCTGAAGATTCACCTTAGTTACGCTGGAATACTAAACTGTTGACTTGCTACGCGACCAACAACGGAAAATGATGACAAAACATCAAGCCAAAAGCCAATCAAATATACCTACACAGTATATTTCGGTTACACGATGTCAAAAAATCAAGCAATTGAAAAATGTACCTGTTCATTATGACTTATCCGAATTTAACGTTTAAATTTGAGTATTTACTGCATTTTCTCTCCTTGTAAAATATTGTTTTATCTTTCTTAGATTGTGGCTTCTGCTTCTTCATGTTTTATTGTGATCTCTTGACTTTGCTTCCATCTACATTCCAGTATGTTCCGCACTGAAAAAAGTAAAATTGATTTAACATTCTGGATTTAAATATAGTGTGCGAGAACTCACAAAATGCTAACTATCCGCTACGGCAATTAATTTTACATCTTGACATTGCCAAAATCACTGCTGTAGCAGTTAATTCAGCATTTTTTAGGGCTTGCAATTTTTTTTACATCCAGAATGTTAAATCAACTTCACTTTTTTTTAGTGCAACTATGTTTATGTATTTGCCCTGAAACTGTAATTGTACTGTCTTTGGATTCGGATATCACGTTTGAAACGTTTCGACGGTGTAAGTCGGCAATCACATAACTCGTTTGCGGTGTCTGAAAATCTCCGCCTCTATGTTATTTTTTTAAAGGAGAACAAATTGACATCATTCCTTGAAATATATGCAGAATTTTCTTCGCACAGAGATAAAAAATCACGGCCGTTTCAAAGAATTGCCGTTGAGAAGTTTTCCGTTCAAAAAATAAAGTGTGACAGGAAGTCTGCGACGTCGCAAACCGAGTTATGTGATTGCCGACTTACACCGTCGGTTTGCTTCTGCATGAGGTTTCATCTCTCATCATGAGAGTTCGATATCATGTAACTGAATTATACTGAACATTTTTTATTGGATTTTAGCTCGATGTTTCACCATCATTTTTCCTATTTCACCTCGAACTTACTTGACTTCTGATCACACGACAAAAGCTAGCCAGCGCCGTGGGTATGTATCATATGCTTTCGCACAGAGGGCTTGCATTTGAATTTACCCGCGCAAATATCACACGAGTAAGGTTGACCGTCAACATGAACTTCCTCCAAGTGATACCTCAGTGCGGCCTTGAGTTTAAACTTTTTTGAACACTGACCACACGCGTGGGGTCGATCCCCTATGTGGACTTGCCTGAAGTGTGATTTTGAATCTTCCTTGGATTTGAATTTGCGCTGGCACTGATCGCACGAATAGGGTCGATCGACGCAATGGACGTGGCCGATGTGTCTTCGTAAATCACCCTTCGTTTTGAATCCCTTCGAGCAATGCTCACAAGAGTAACGTCGATCGCCGATGTGAACTCGGAGCGTATGCTTTCGTAAATCAGTCTTCAATTTGAATTTGCAGGTGCACTCGCCACACTGAAAGGGGTGAACATCACTGTGGACGCGAGTCATATGCACCTGTAAATAGTCCTTCGATTTGAATCGTTTGGAACAACGATCGCAGGGGAAAGGTCGATCGGTAGAATGGGCATTCCTCACATGGCTCTGTAGAGCAAACTTCGCCTTGAATTTTAGCAAGCACTGGGGGCATGAAAAGGGTCGATCTTCACTGTGAGCGTGCCGAAAATGCTGCCTCAATGAATTTTTCGATTTAAATTTACTCGAGCATTCGCCACACGCAAAGCAGCGATCGTCGCTGTGAGAAATCATGTGTGAATTTAAAAGACTTTTCAAGGTGAATTTTCTTGAGCACAGATCACACTGATGATTCTGATCGCCGTGGACCCCTGCAACGTGGAATGATAACGAGCGCTTGTTTTTAAATTTGCTTGAGCACTGACCACAGGTGAAAGGCCGATCAACGACGTGGACGCTCCGGACATGTATTCGTAAACCATTCTTTGATTTGAATTTGCTGGAGCACTGATCACACGTAAACGGTCGACCGGTGCTGTGGACATTTTTAACATGGCCGTTTAAACAATACTTCGACTTAAAGTTACGCGAGCACAGATCACAAAAGAAGGGCCGGTGACTGTCATGAGTGTGCCAAGCGTGAGTCTGTAATTCACCCTTGGTTTTAAATTTGCTCGGGCAATGGTCACACGAGAGGGGTTGATCGCCGGTGTGGTGTTGCGTGATGTGTTCTTGTAAATCATCCCTCGTTTCGAATTTGCTGAAGCACTGATCGCAAGGATAGGGTCGATAGACATGGACACTCCTGAAATGATTCTTCAATCCTTCCGTTGATTTGAATTTGCTCGGACACTGATGGCAGAGAAAGGTACGATCGCCTGGGTGAACATTTATCAAGTGTGTTTTTAGTGCACCCTTTGATTTAAATTTTTTTGCACACTGACCACATGAGAAGGGGCGATCGTCCAAGTGAACATGCATATGACTCTTTAGATGAATTTTCGTTTTGAATCTGCTTCCACAATGACCACATGAGAAGGGCTTATCAGTACAGTGAGCGTACGTGATGTGTAACTTTAATGCACTTTTCACTTTGAATCTCTTCGGACATTGACCACACGAAAATGGGCGATCACCAACGTGGACACGAATCACGTGCCGTTTTAAATAATGTTTTACTTTAAAATTGCTTGGGCACTGGCTGCATGCAAACTTCCGACTGACACAGTGTGCGCAGAGAATATGCCTTCTTAAACTAGACCTTGCCTTATAAGTCAATGAGCATTGGCCACACGGAAATGATCCATCTTCTTTGGGAATGAACACGACTTGTGCACTAGGACCCGCTTTTGATTCCAATTTTGCGGAACCTCCACGAGACAAGGAAAATACCTCACCGGTGGGCACAACATTCCTTGCATTGTGGTCACATTTGATTATTTTTTCATCATTATCTGCATGATTTGCATCAGTTTTTGACTGTGACGATGGTACCTCTTTTCTGCCAATTCCAATATTCCGTTGAGTCTTCATTGAACCCGTTGCAAAGTTCTTACGAGGTATTGAATCATTTCCACGAGGAGATACATACGGATAGGTTTGATGATGTTGCGTTTCCTCATTTGTGGCAGCAGACTTGTTTAGGGTCCTTGAGTTGGACCGTGTTTGTTGTTGGTCCGTTGGTGTCTTTGGAATGTCCAGTACTGGTTGGCTGATTCCATGGTTTCCGCGGTCTTGATTGCAATCACAGTCTTGACGTACATTTGAATTTTCCTGTAACAGAACAACCAGAAGAATGTCTTGATCAATATTTCTTTTCCACGAAATCCTAGAAAAATCATTTTCAAAGAAATCTTGGTTAAATTTATTCCATTCCTTCAGAGTGTCACTTAATTTTGCGATGTTGATTCATGTGTAGAACATAGGTTTCGATCATGATGAAGCAGGTTGATGGTTTTTGTGTTTGGCCCAGGTATTCCAGACCAAATTTTCATCAAAAACCAAAGTCTGTCATCGGTGACAAACTCACTTTTAATATAAAAATGAAGCACGGAAGTTTCGAGTAAATTCAAAAAGCATGTGGACTACGGGTAATATTTTTCCAGGACTCACCAATGAATTTGAAACGAGTTAAGTAGTAAAATACACAGAAACAATCAGTCTGAATCCAAGTTCAGATGCTCCGAAAATCAGTGGCGATTATTGAAAGTTGGAAACACTGATTTTCTATGAAAATGTATGTAAAACAATCAATTCTTGTTGGCAGCTTGCCTCACCTGAAATCGATATTTCTACTGGATTGAAATCGAAGAAAACAGATTTTGCAAATTTGAAAAATCGCCCCTGCCTTAAATGCTTTTATATTACTTGCTCGCATAAGCATTAATAACACAGGACGGAAAGAGAGGAAACGCAAGGATTGAAGCGCGCACCAACAACGTAGCCGTAGCGTACGCGCAATTCGTGAGGTATCCATGCAGTCTTGCAGGCGCTAACATGCGTTCCGCGTTATATGTAGGTGCCGCACTGTACCGTGTTTAGCGCGATTTTTCAGCGCAGTATAGCAAGCGTTTTTCAACTTAGGATTTTGAAGTTCTTGCAGAGGTACATTCTGTAGGGACCGTAGTTACATACTCGGATAAAAAATAAAGAAACAACACGAAATCCAACTAACTGTGTTCTCTTTATTTGCATATCGATGACCTAAGTGTGAAACCACAGATCTCTGTGTATGACGTTGCATAGTTCCTGTCAACCTACTTCATTAAATCTGTGAATTCAATTTCAATTTATTTTCGTTTTATTACAAATAGGTATACGATAAAACTCATAAACAAATGACAAAAAACGGAAATAATACACCCACTAATGACACTTGGCCATTGTGTCAGGTGCTGCCTCTTTGTTTTATTTTTCCCAGTTTTATTTTATTTTGTTTTATTTTCCCCCTTTTTCATGTCCCCTTCCTTCCTTGTTTAAATTTTTTTACTCACTTCCTCCTTGCTTATCTCTTCCCTACTGTTCATTTTCTAGTAATGGACCACTAGACAGGGTGAGAATTAAAGGATTCTGCTACACGTTTCTTTACCAAAATTTCTCGAAAAACACGATTCGCGCAATGAAAATTACTAAAACCAACTCTTTATGAAGATATTAACGTTTTTATTTCACATTGGTTACAAGGAATTTAGACTGCCCGCTCACAAGAAACTCAAAGCTTTACGTGAGTCAAAGCACGCACTACAACGGTTTCAGCAAGCTTCTCAATTGAGTAATGTTCATTTCCCACCATGTGTTGTTCAGACTATAAGAAATTTGCTATGGCTGAGCCAAAGCGTAAAAATTGAGGTTGCCAGTTTTTTATATCGGAGAGACTGTCATGATAAACGTTTAGCGCGCGATGTGAATCACGTAGAGCATTGAGTTTTCATGAGCGGGCGGTTTGAATTCACGCATCAAGAATCATTAAATATCTTTAGAAGGAGTTGACATCGGTGATTTTCGTTGTACGCGTCGTATTCTACGTAAAATTTTAGTTAAAAAACATGCATCAGAATGCTGAAATTCGTACCTTGTCTAGTGGTCCATTGTTCTTTAATTTTATGGGCTTTCAAGTGGCAGGCTATTTTTGAGAATGGCGTCGCACCTATAATCATTATTATACTAGCTAGTTAACGTAATTTAACAACTTCCTCGATTTGTCGATGCTTTAGCTCAGCAGCTGCAAGTTGTTCACACTTTGAACAACACAGGACGGCGAACAGTGGCGTGGCGTGAATTGCGATAAATCGATTGTTCAGCCATTTAAACCTATGGTAAAAAATCAATTGTTCAGGTGTTCGCTGCGAACACCCTGTTTATCGATCCTTCCCCATGGATTTAAATGGCATATCAATCGATATATCGCAAAGCACGCCACGCCACTGACGGCGAAATGCTCGATTAAGGGGCCTTGTTCGAATCTTTCAGGTTTAAAATAACCCCTACCTCTGGTTTCAGCTGTGATGAAGCGACAACACGACTCGAATTGGCAGCAGGCTCTAATGCTCTCAAATGACTGCGTACCAATTCTGGGTCGAGTCGTTCAAGCAGGACAACTAGATTATTCAGCACGTTAGAACTTTGTGTCCGCATTTCTTTTTGGGCATCTGCAACGGGGGAAACAAACATATTAAAACATTAATACATATAATAAAATATACGGCTGTAATTGCGTCGTGGATCACTGATTTTTTCGGACGTTTAACTGCGAACAGTTTCGTCATTTTTAAGAAGAATTCAGGGTGTATCAATACCCGACAAAATTACGGTCATTTCTCATCGATTTTGGTTTGATCTCCAGTTTAAATTCTCGATCGACCTACTCCTGTAGGTCGCATCTATCTGCGGTATCAGGCTGCGGTCTGCGGTTACGTGGGTCTGTTGCACGCAAGAAATATAGGTACAGTCAACTGAATATCGACGGCGAAACTACCAAACTACGTATCTCGTTTGCGGTGTTTAAAATTCTACGCTCGCATTTTATTTTTTTGAAGTAGACCAAATCAATATCATTCCTTGAAATTTTCACAGAATTTTCTCCGCGCGAAGAGGAAAAATCACAGAAATTTTCAAGACTGGACGTTAAGTAGTTTTTCATTTAAAAAATGAAGTATGACAGGAAGTCTGCGACGTCGCAAACCGAGATACGTGGTTTGGTAGTTTCACCGTCGATATACTTTTTAAAAGTAAATTCGCTCGAGAATCACGTTGGGTACACAAAAAAGCCTGAAATCCATTCCTTAGCTCGCAATTTGCATAGTTTGTTTCACGCTTTTTCAAGTTTCCTGCGTCTGCAGGCAGTTTCTCCTTGTCACCGCCCACCAGATTTGCACAGGCAGAGGAGTAAGAAAGAACTACTTGAAGTAAACAAAAGATTAACGAACTTTATTTATCGTACGATTTCATTTGCTTCAAGTGATTGTTTCCTTTTTCCTCTCTTTATTTTGCAAAAAAAAAGCTTTGAATCAATTGAAATCTTACGCAAGGAGAGTTTGTAACAGTTAGCAAGATTCTTTGTTCATTTAGATCAGGTCTCTCTCCGGGCAAACCTGACCGCTAGACACCGAGAAATACTACCCACAGACGCTGTAAATGAAATATCGCGTTACAAACTTTACAGATTGTCCGCAAAGGTGTGAATTTCAGACTTTTTTGATGTGCCCAACGTGGTTCTCGAGCAAATTCTCCCCAAAAATACGTATTCAGTTGGCTGTATCTCTTGCTTGCAACAGACCCATTCACTCTCGTATTCGGTCAATGTGTTTTATGCCCCGTAAAAATGGACCACTGGACAAGGTACAAATTTCAGCATTCTGATACATGTTTCTCATTAAAATTTCACGTAGAATACGATTCTTGCATCGAAAATTACTGAAATCAACGCCTACCTAAGATAATAACGTTCTTATTTTACATTTGTTACGAGAATGTTGAATTGGCCGGTCACAAAAAACGCAATGGACCACTAGACAAGGTACGAATTAAAGCAATCTGATAAATGTTTCTTTACCAAAATTTTACGTAGAACACGGTTCGTGCAACGAAAATTCCTGAAACCAACTCCTTACGAAGATATTAACGTTTTTATTTCACATTGGTTACGCGGAATTTGCACTGCCCGCTCACAAGAAACTCAAAGCTCTACTTGAGTCAAATCGCGCACTACAACGGTTTCAGCAAGCTACTCTCAATCGAGCAATGTTCATTTCCCACCATGTTTTGTTCAAACCACAAGAAATTTGTTAAAGGTGAGCCAAAGCGTCAAGATTGAGGTTTTTAAATTTTTATATCGTAGAGACTATCATGACAAACGTTTATAGCGCGCGATGTGAATCACGTAGAGCATTGAGTTTTCATGAGCGGGTGGTTTGAATTCACGCATCAAGAATCATTAAATATCTTCGTAAGGAGTTCATTTCGGTAATTTTTGCTGTGCGCATCGCATTTTACTTGAAATTTTGGTTGAAGAAATAGAATGCTGAAATTCGTACCTTGTCTAGTGGTCCATTCTCTGCGCGAATCAAATCTCGCCTCACAACAGTTTTGGTAGGCTTCCCAATCGAGCATTGTTCCAATCCCGCCCTTTATCGTTCAAAGTGTAAAAAATTTGCTATAGCTAAACCAAAGTGTCAAGATTGAGGTTACCAGATTTTCAAATCCCAGTGATTGTCATATGGTAAAGTAAAGTAAAGTGTAGTGTGCAATTTGATTCACGTAGACTATAATATTTACATGAGCGGGAGGTTTGAATTAACGCGTCAAGAAAAATTGAATATTTTAGTAAAGAGTTAATTTCGGTGATTTTCGTTGCGCAAATTGTCTTCAACGTGTAATTTTGGTCAGGACAAATGTATCAGATTGCTTAACTTCGTACCTTGTCTATTGGTCCTTTGTCACCATATTTTTATGCTTACTCTAACATACGATTGAAACCACTTGCATGTCTGATTTAATTCGAGTAAAACACCCAAACCACGTATCTCGTTTGCAGGGTTTAAAAATCTCCAACCCAGTTTTAATTTCTAAAGGAGAACAAATCAACATTACTCCTAGCCAGAAGTTTCCTTCACAAATTTGCTTCGCACAGAGAAGAAAACCGACGGCAGTTTTTACAAATTGGCTTTGAGCATTTCTCCATCCATGAAAAATAAAGGATGTCAAAAGTCTCAACTGTCGCAAACCGGCATACGTGGTTCAGAGGTTTCACCATGGAATGGACCACCAGACAAGTTACGAATTTCAGCATTCTGATACATGTTTCGTGACAAAAATTTCACGTAGAACACGATGCGCACAACGAAAACTACCGAAATCAACTCCTTCCGAAGATATTTAATGATTCTTGATGCGTGAAATCAAACCACCAGCTCATGAAAACTCAATGCTCTGCGTGATTCACATCGTGGGCTAAACGTTATAATGGCAGTCTTGGCGATATAAAAATCTGGCAACCTCAATCTTGACGCTTTGGCTCAGCTGTAGCAAATTGTTTACAGTTTGAACAACATATGGTGGGAAATGAACATTACTCGATTGGGAAGCTTGTTGAAACCGTTGTAGTGCGCGATTTGACTCACGTAGAGCTTTGAGTTTCTTGTGAGCGGGCAGTTCAAATTCCTCGTATCCAATGTGAACGTTGATATCTTCGTCAGGAGTTTGTTTCATTAATTTTCGTCGCGCGAATCGTGCTCTACGTGAGATTCTGGTTAAGAAACATGTATCGGAATGCTTAAATTCGTTTCTTGTCTAGTGGTCCATTGTCTGATGATGTCAAAATACGTACTGTCTAGATCTCCTTTGATCTCCATAGGTACCAACTCGTTGATCATTTTGATATCCGGTTTCAGTTCCAGTTCATCATTGGCTGAAATCCCATGTGCGTATTCGATGTCTATCTCCGGCTTAACTAGATGAAGGACAGCATCTTCGAGAGGGTGATCTGGAAATTATAGAGAACAAAGTTTAATTCATGAATCTTTGCCCACGTCTTAAAGGATAATAAAATGTTGTATCGCATTGTTTTTGCAAAGAATGGGTCTCATTGATGATAAGAGAGAATGTGATAAGATCTATTCGGATGATGGTGCCTATACGCTCTTGAGAAAGAATGAGTGGGGTTCTACATCGAGGACATGGTTTCGTTTGAGAGAGACAACCTCACTTCGATGAACTGAGCTTGGCCTCTGACGGAACTTGTCCTTGCTAAAAATCCGTCTCATTTGGATAGCACCATCATCCAATAATTCTTACCATGATCTCTGTTATAATCCATGAATTAAAACCCACTCTTTGCAAAAACGACTCTTGTACCATTGCATTGTCATCAGGCCCGCCACAAGGGGGGGGGGGATACTGGATCCTTGGTACCGGGGCCCGTGACGCAGGTGACAAACCACTACGAATTCATGTGTAACCCTTGTCTCGTAAGGAAAAGTGAAAAAATTACCCTGAAAATTCCGCAAAAGGTGAATAAAGTTTCAAAAACACGCTAGGGCACTATAAAATTCGTCTTACTTTTTTAGAGATTTCTATCTATTTTCAAGATTTTGAGTATATGTAGAATGATATTTTTAGTAACTGCGTTTCATTTTCTTTCGTTGTCGGATGCTAAGAGGCTCCTGTCTGGGCATCCTCGACTTCAATGGCTCAACTCCCTTGCCATGGACGTACATCTGCCCCCCTCAAAAAAAAAATTATAGAAGTTTTGAATGCAACAATTCGAAAGTATTTGGCGCTGAAAGTAAAAAAAAAGCGTAATTATTCTGCAGAAATTGATGGAAAATTTCCATCATAAGAGCTTCAAAATGCGTCCGAATAGATTTACAATTTCAAAAATTTCCCGGGGGAGGCCCCCCGGACCCCCCTCTATGCTAGGGGCCCGGGCCAGAAAACTGGCACCACGGCCCGAGATAGGATGTGGCGGGCCTGATCGTCATAAGGCAGCGAGGCACCGGCACCCATTTGCATTTATAGATCTGTGAGCCAGTGGCGTGGCGTGCTTTGCGACCTATCGATTGTTATGTCATTTAAACCTATGGAAAAGGATCGATACACAGTGTGTTCGCAGCGAACACCTTAATAATCGATTCTTTACCATAGGTTTAAATGGCATAACAATCGATATATCGCAATTCACGCCACGCCACTGCTGTGAGCGTTGGAAAAATCCTCTGCGAATTCAATTTCCTCAAAAAATCTTAGTTCATCAAAATTTCCCCATAATCCGGGTGTTAGAATCGCTATGGAATTGACCTTCATCAATAAGTATCATTGCTCAGAAAGGGACGTACTGAGCGAAGTAATCCGATAACGATTCCATTCTTGCCAGATTTTTTGAAATTCAGCATACTTCCTATGAGATTCAGTGTGAAAAATGCTGGTTCTTTACCATCAGCTATGTCCGGCAACAATGTCAACAATTGATTTAATTCGTTGAAGTTATTGATCGACAGTACCCTTCTCGTATAACTCGCAGTTTAAAAAAAACATGAAGCATAAAAAAAAATTGAATCACTTAAATATCTTCTTTAACCCTCAGTTTGGTATGGACATAATATATTTTTTTATACACATGCTTTCTCACCGTAAAATTGAGTAACGTCTAAACAGAAGCAACATGCAACCCCCCTCCCCCCCCCCCAAAAAAAAAATTGTGCAATTTTTCTGTCACCTGTTGGCAGAATGTCTTCGTCCTCTGTTTCTTCTACCTTTACGTCCGACAGCAATGAGGAAGTAACGTATTTGGGCTCAAACAGAGTGGATCCTGCTGAGTTCTTCAAAACTTTGACATCAGGATTTTCCAAAGGTACTATTGGTCTTTGCAGACGATCGGTGTGGATTGGCGCATTGCCGAATAAGTTGACGTCGACATGTTTTAGAAACACGACTGGTTGCTGCTGAGTAAGTTCCGATCTATTACCGAGCAGGCTCGCATCTCGACAAAGATCTGTAATGCCGTTCACGAAAATAGTCCTTGAAACATTCATAACTGGGTTATATCAATGGAGATGTTGCATGCGTGAGAAATTTGCTATTTGACTGTTGATTCTTATGTAAAAGGTCGCGAGAAACACGATGGTGCCACCGGTTTTCTCTGAAATCAACTCCCAAGCTCAAAAAAAGCTCTCAAGTTGAGGCCAAATGGAGGAGATATCCCGCACGCTATCCTGAGAGTCCACCTCTACATCAATACAGATTCTCCATGCAAAGGTAGGGAGCAAATTCATTAGCAGGGTTGCCGTGTTTTCAGTTTTAGAGTCCCCAAATATAGTGGCAGCCCTGTCAATGTATTTGCTCCCTATCTTTGCATGGAGAGTTTGTCTTGATGTAGAGGTGGACTCTCAGGGTAGGGTGGGATATCCCCTCCATTTTGGCCTCGACTTGAGAGCTTTTTTTGAGCTTGGGAGTTGATTTCAGAGAAAACCAGTGGCACAATCCTGTTTCTCGCGAACTTTTACATAAGAATCAACAGTCAAATCGCAAATTCCTCACACATGCAACATTTCCATCGGACGTATTTTTGCTAAACGGAGCCAGAGACAGGTGAGAACGAAGGGGTGTGCTCGTTAGTTGAGGGCCGCGCAAGAATGAATGGGAATTATAAAGCGCCAGTGACGTCAGTGGCATCGAGGCTGCCAAAATTTTCATAAGAACCTCCCCTTAAAATTAAAATTGTGACGAGATCAACGTAAAATTTTACAATTTTGTCAAGAATTTCGTGTCCGACTCCTCCGAAGACTCGTTTCACTGTGCGCCACGGCCGCCCCTGTGGATCATTCACTCACTTTACTGATTCTGAAATTAGCTGGAAACAAAACTTACGGTAATTGAAAGATTTCGTGAAATTACAGCAACAACTCCATTGGCGGATCCAGCAAATTGGCAACATTGTTTTTCTCCATTTAAACCTATGGAAATATATCGATTCTTGGAGGGGCCCGGTGCTCTGACAGGAATCGATTATTTAGCATAGGTTTAAATGGAAGGAATCCAGTGTTGCAAACTGCTGGATTCGCCTCTGAACCTCTCTGAAGTTATACGGATTTATTGTCGTAAATGATGCACCTATAGAATCAAATCTGGCAATCTTTGGTGCGCTGTCTAAAAATTTGGGAATCGTTTAAATTTTTTATGAGAGCATGCTCTTTAAAAAAGCTCTACTGAAAAATAAAATACGGTTGATTTTTCCACACTCTTGACACAGTGATCCGAGCATGGTAATTAACTTCAGATCGTGGGGTAGCACCTACCATATTGTGGTAAGAATCACCTGAACTCTGGTGAATACTACTGTAATCCTAGTCATTTTCACTGAATAGTATCACTGTGTAAAAAATCAAGTAGACTTATAGTAGCCGTTACCATACTTTTTTTTCATACCTGCAGGTAAGGACCTAGTACCCATTTGCAAGGAAAATCTGACAGCGCTTATTTCACTTTTATCGATTTCTCTTTTTTTTGTAAAAATTAAAACATCTGACTAATACATTTTATGAATTGGAATAGAAATTGTAGTGCTTGATACTCAGCGCTATAAAGATAATATCTGAAGCTTTCAGAGCACTCGTCAATATTTCAAGCCAGAGAAGTTGCCTACTCTCAAAATGAAGGCGTTTTAAACCATTCAAAATATTACATTCTCAATTTTTGGTAAAGATATGATTCAAATACGCAGCGGTGTTTAAGTGCGTATTCTACTCCCACCAGCGTTTTAATCCTATTTTAATTGAAAATTTTTAAACAATAATGTAGAGGAATTTTGTTCTGTTCCATTTTAAGAATTTGAATCGGTGTTTTTAAAGATCCAGACTGACTCTAAAAGGGAAAATAAAACAAATAAATGAAAGAAATTATCAAAAGTGAAAATAATCTTGACGATATTCATCACATCGGGACTTTTAAATGATTTTCATCTGAAAATTTATCGATGGGGATAATTTTTCTTTCCTTTGCCGGAATGCGAATGTTGCGCTGCGCACCGGCCTGGGCGACACCTTTTTCACGAAAGCAATATTCTCTATTGTCTCTAAAGAAAAAGGAGAAAAGACACTATGAGCTCTCTTCTGAAAGTTTCTCTTCATTAAATGTTAGTCGGAAACAGGTATGGAGAAAACGAAATTGGGATGAAGGAAGAAACAACGACAAAAAGTAAAATTTTACCTGCTCCGTAGCTTCCGTTCCGCATTAGTTCTTCAGAAGCAAGCTCACTCTTCGGCTCTGCAAAGGGGATACCTTCTGAAGTCTGCTCCATCCTTTTTTGCCCAGCAAGGGGATCGCAACCGTGATCCGACTTCACCATAGAAACCCCGAAAACTCAAGAGATTGTAGCTGGGACCTATCATTTAACAATGTAGCACTCAAAATTAGACTGATCATGCACCTCGTCTGACATAAAAGACCAGTGTGGACAAGGTACAAATTTAATCAATTTTGCATGTTTCTTGACCAAAATCTGATACAGAACACGAGCATTGCAACAATATAATGACCGGCATTAACTTCTAACAAAGATAATAATAACGTTTTTTCAATGCATAACTTCAACCTTCCTGCTCATGAAAAAACAAAAGAGTAATCCACGTGAGCTAAATCGCACAGTCGCACACTAAACGTATTATCGCACACGTATTTTTGTGAGCCCCGGAGGTCTATAATTTTATGGATGTATGTTGAAAATTTTATAGTTTATAGACGTAATGTACTTATGGACTGCTCTGCCCTCCGATATCTCCAAACATAGATCTACTCCCCTACAATCGACAGAAATGCAAACCCACTTACATGCGACGAACCCAATATTACTACCAAAATTCTGAAACTCTTCACCTCTCTTAATTTAAAAATCTAAATTTTCGTATATACTCCCATTTTCAAAATTCTCTGTAAATACGTTAATAGCCTGTGACGCTGAAATTCTTAAAATATACTAACTAACTAACTAACTATGTTCAGCAATATCGAGGGTGATTTTTTTAGAGGTTAACGAAATATTGATGCCAATTTGTTTATAATTTGTTTGGGTGAATTCCACATACATTTCACCTACTTTATAAAGAAAAAAGGCTTCCTCACTTGTACTTTCTAACGAAATTCACGTTTTTTTGAAGGTCCTAAACGGTCAATAATTTTACACAATTCACGTACGCATGTATACTTATTCTAAGGAAAAACGCAGTAGGAACATTCAAGAGTTGCCTTTCCCCGGACAAAACATGCATTTATGAGGAAAGTTGTACATATTTGTCCTCATAATGGACCACTAGACAAGGTACGAATTTAAGCATTCTGAGACATAATTCTTCACCAAAATTTTACGTAAAACACGATGCGCACAACGAAAATTACCGAAATCAACTCCTTCCGAAGATATTTAATGATTCTTGGTGCGTGAATTGAAACCACCCGCTCATGAAAACTCAATGCTCTACGTGATTCACATCGCCCGGGCCGCGCGCGCTAAACGTTATCATGAACGTCTCTGCGATAAAAAAAATCTGGCAACCTCAATCTTGACACTTTGGCTCTGCTATAGCAAATTATTCATAGCTTAAAAAACACATGGTGGGAAATGAACATTGCTCGATTAAGAAGCTTGCTGAAACCGTTGTAGTGCGCGATTTGACTTACGTAGAGCTTTGAGTTTCTTATGAGCAGGCAGTTCAAATCCTCTTAACCAATGTAAAATGAAAATGTTAATATCTCCGTTAGGAGTTGGTTTCGGTAATTTTCTTTGCGCGAATCGTTTTCTACGTGAAATTCTGGTTAGGATTCATGTATCAGAATGCTTAAATTCGTACCTTGTCTAGTGGTCCATTGCCAGATTTATTAGAGTTAATTGCAAACAAAATTATCTGGAACATTTGAACAAAAATATTCACAATTTTGCGATGAATTTGATTTTTATTCGAGGAAATACGGCAACGTCTGAAGGTTCATACGACGTTAATTCTTAGCACGGCAGCATAGAATTCAGCTTCCGATAACGTGTCTGAACACAACGACGTCAGATGGAAATCAATAAAAGTAAATAGAGAACGAAGCTACATAACAACCGATTAAAACAAAAAAATTGCAGACAATGACGAAACATACAAACCAATTTCCGATCAGTGCCTTAGCGTTGTTCTCGTAAATTGCGTTGTTTTTCCTCTCCTTCCATCACTTGTAAATTCTTTAATGCACTAAAACCAAAACTAATTATAGCTTACGAAACCTGTAAATAAAAATCGTAGAAAGCATCGGAGTGTCACAAAACGAATTATACATTAAAACATAACCCACAAAATGTTACAGCTACAGCATCGATAGGTACCGCGTCGCCAACTGACCGTCCCGTCGAACGAACACATACAGGCTCACACATCGGCATATGAACTCGAATAATTTGCAGTGTTTGCAGACAAGGTGCTCAAATGATGTGCTGAGTGTTGTGCTTTGATACGTTAATACACGCTCATGCAGCCAAACCTTCAGCCAGTTACTTTACAGATATATCATCGCCACCTTCCGGCTAAAGTATCACAAGCGCCATGCAACGCTTGAAAATTTCCGCCGTCATTTTATTATTTTACAGAGAAATTGCTGCACGAAGCTGTCCGGAAAATTTCACTGAAATTTCTTTGTGCTGCCTATAAGATTAAAAAAAAAATAATAAAAAAAAGGTGAAAATAAATTAATGAAATTTAGTAAAATCTTCAAACAGACATAATTTCCAACAATTTCTCTGTAAAATAATAAAATGGCGGCGGAAATTTTGAAACGTCGCATGGCAATTGTAATACTTTGGCCGGAAGGTGACGATATAAGGAATACACGGCATTCCTTTTTGTAAGTTTTCCTTAAATAAGTAGTTCATTTTTCCTCAAGCTATGTGTGTCGATAGGTGTAACGGCGAATAGGACGGATAGGACGGATAGGGTCGTAGGTGGACGAATTGGATGTATTTCTTTCAAACGGAGCTATGTGCATTAAGACATGAGCCCTGAGACCCACAAGAATATATGCATAACAGGGCTCACGCCATAAAGCACATAGTTCCGTTTGATAGAAATGCGTCAAATTATCAGCCCCCAGGGTTGATGAGTAACCAGTCCCGGGTAATTAATTAACATCAACCGTCACTTGACCACCCTGATCACTATCGATGGGGCGAACGAGGCAAAACTTGGTGGAAACGCCACTGGCGCACAGAGGATCGTGTCAGTGGGAGAGGTCGAACAAAATTTGGAAACTTGAAAAGCTTATAATTCCGTTCAATCAAAACTTTGAGATTTTAAAAGCGGGTCCATTGGTTTTATTGTGAAATTTTCTTCCAAGAGCACCCCTTAAAATTTAGAATGTGACGAATTCAACATCAAAATTTGCGGTTTTAGTCAAAATTTCATGTCTGATCTATTAGAGTCCCTTTATACTGAGAGTCAAGACAACACCTCCTCATGGAGTCACAAACGAGAGTAAAGAATACAGAAATTGAACGTTTTTGGAATCTTTGATCGGCCCATTCTCAAATTCCTTTCTCCGTTCCTTCTCCGTTTGTTCCTTGCCGAACCCGTAATTCCCTGGTCCATTCCAGATTATAATCTTTGCAATTGGTGAAAACGTAATCTTTATTCCCGTTTGTGACACCGTGAAGGCCTAAATACGGGAACCAATCAGAATGAATTCTCATTGTCTTGACTCTCAGTATAAAGAGACTCTATGATCTATATATGATTGACTCGATCCACTGTGTGGCGAGGCGTGAAAGATCGATTTTCGATATCCCCTATTCGAAGCTATGGTAAACGGTGTTTGTTGCGACCGCCCAGTTCATCGATCTTTTCCCGTAGGTTTAAATGGCAGATAAATCGATGTATCGCGAAGCTAGACACGCCACTACCGCGAAGGCTGCGGGGCTCAGCGCGTCAACGCCACGTCTCGCAGTTGGTATGATTAATCGTGGCCTGCTATCACTCGTGACTTAATGATGATAAACCGCCGAAATTCGCTAGCGCCCTAATCTTCGGCCAATTACAGCCACGGCCCCCAGGCCCCCTCCGTGTCGACGCCTGTCCGAGGTTTCGATCGCTTGATTCTTGTACCCTTCATATCCGGTTCAGAAGAAAATATCTAGACGACTAGGGGGTTTTGCCCCCTGGCCGCTACGCGGCCCAACCCTCGGGGCACCGCACGCCTCAAAGGCCGCTTCGCGGCCAGCGAAATCGTCGGAATCGCCCGTTGGCGGTTAATGAGCAAATAATTTTAATCAAATAACAAAACGATGTTTCAATGAAAAATGTATTGCCAAACAATATTCTTAATGACTTTATCCTTGCTCTGGATTTTGATTCCTTGTTTGAAAGTCAACCTTGACAGGGCCACATACAGCTGTCCATGACTAAACAAAGGCCTCTGAAAGTAAAGATCCACTCTACTAAAACTCTGACCTTCTAACTCCCCTTTCTCACTCCTGCCGCCCATCGACTGTCTTACTCCCCTTCCTCGCCCCGTCCATAAAGCGCCTTTAAAATGATTTTATTAGAATAGAGAGGATTATTGCCGTGATAGCAAAGCGAGCAGTAAGGGTTTTCGAAATCGAGTTTCCTTCAAAATTCGTCTAATCTATTTTAGATAAAATGACTAAAATAGATAAGACAGCAAAATCCACTTATTTTTAAGAAAATGAGACATATAAGAAAGCCGCAAGTGCGCAAAAAATGACGTACCTATAGTTTCAGGCGAGACAGCAGTAAGTGACAATATTCCCCCAAAGAGCCAATGAAAAAAGCGCTTTCAAGTAAAGTGTCGCCCTCTTCTGCCAACCAAAAAGTAGCTCCCTTTGACCTAGGAACATCCCCAAAGCTTCAAATCTTTACCTCAATTAGGTAAAAAGTTAAGAGGGGTGGAAGGGACTTTTGGATCATCCTGTATAGTCTCTTGTGGATACAATTTAGATGATACGTAAGATTAATGAACAGAGCTCCTTGAGCCAAAGCCTGATATGAAAAAAGATAGGAAAAACCCGTTTTTATTGTATTTTAAAAGGGAAATTACTCTCCCCTCAAGCCTTTAAAAATGTGTGAAAATTGAGCTAAAAGTGGAAAATGAGGAATACATGCGCAGGTGAGAAAATTTTAAAATTTGTCTCTTTTCATAATGTGTAAAATTATGCGACTAGCAATGCTGATTCCTAACATATCTACTGATATGAACATCTATAATATTTTCGTCATGCACTGAGGGAAAATTCCTCATAGTACTTGAATTCTTAGCCTGCCGATTGGCTCAATAAATTAATTCGTACCTACTGTTGGAATTTCACCTCTGCCTCAATTCCATAGGCTCAAGGATTCCCACGCCATATTTCTTTCTTCGTTGCAACTCTTCTATTATGTGACGTAATGCAGTCAATATGGTCTGTTTACTCGCTGTCATTAAACTTTTTGTAAAAAAAAGGCAGGAAAAATGAAATAAGTATTACGACTGTGCATTTTAACAATTGTTGTTTTTTTTTTTCAAAGTTTTTTCCTCTCCCCTCCGACTCGGGTTTGTTACGTAACGCTGGGCTTCATCCCCATCCCCCTTGTAACGCACCATAACGCTGGTTCAAACCCCCTCCCCTTCTTAAGTGTGTTACGTAATCCTTGAACGGTCCCTAAGTTGAGTTTTGCAAAATATCCTGAACACACTTCCATACACAGTTCCTAAGCACCTGTAAATAATTCCGCAAAAAGTTCAGCATGTCCACTGCGAAATAAAAATAGCCGTCATTTGAACCGGGTCTACCAAGACGCACCTGACGCACCAAGTCGCATTTTGGAAAAAAATGAGTTGTGACTCGAGTATTTTTGAAGTCAACCCGGACCGTCAAAAAGTTTTTCAGGTCAAAAGTCCGAGATCAAGGAAAATATTAACAGGACGCGAAAAATTTTATTAAACTTTGTCCTCAGCATCAAGTCTTACAGAGGAATAAAACTTCAAACCTCTTTCACTTGGCTGAGACTCGATGCAAAATTCAGTTAAACTCGGTCCATTCAAGCACATAATTCGGCGGTGAAACTACTAGACCACGTATCTCGTATGCGGTGTTTACTTAAAAAGTCCGCTCTCATTTAATTTTTGTCAAGGAGACAAAATCAATATCATTCATAGAAATTTTCTACGCACAGAGAAGAAAAATCACGGAAGTTCTTCAGGGCCGGATTCACCTATTTGCCACTCATGGGCCGCCTGGATTTTGCCGCTCCCTTCTCATTCGTTTTGAAACATAAATAAAAATCATCAAGTGAACGTGCCGGAGGGGGAGGGGTGCGCGTTTACTCGTGTTGGACACATTTTTTGCGAAAGCCCTGTTAACACTACTAGCAAAATTTCACGGAACTTGACGCGGAAGTTAAGTTCCGTAAACCTATCTTTGTGTGGACAAGGCCTTCCACATACTGGAAATTAACAAAAAATTATGAAAGAACAAGCATAAATGTGGTTTAATAATTTTAACTTCCGCCGACGCGCCGAGCTGACCGCAATGTGTTTGACGCAATGCGTGAAGTATTCATGCAGTCTTGTAGGCGCTATGCATCTCACGTCGACCGTTGTTGCTGACCGCACTGTACTTGACGCAATGCGTGAAGTATTCATGCAGTCTTGTAGGCGCTAATATGCTTTACATGCCGACCGCCGCGCCGAGGGCTTCTCCTATTCATCTCAAGTTCTCGTCATCATTGCTTTCTGCGCCGCGCTGCTCCTGGCCAAATTGCGGGTTTGGTTTCTCTCTTAACTCGACTTATTGAAAGTCCTGTCTTTTGTATCACCGAAAGACGACAAAATTGTAAATTACTATACTCTCAGGAAATGAGAGATTTTGTCGCCTTCTCTCGTTTGTATTTTTTTTCCGGAATCCGATTTTTTTCATACCCACATTTAAATAAAAAATTGCAAAATTTGCCGCCCCTTGGATTTGTCGCCATGGGCCGCGGCCCATGTGGGCACCCCCTTAATCCGTCCCTGAGGTTCTTTAAAGACGTTCAGTTGTTTTCCATTTAAAAAATTATCCACGTCAGCAGTGGCGGCGCGTGATGGGTGCTCGTGAGTGCAGTTGCACAAACATGATTTTGAGAGATTTTTTGCTTCCTTTTTTTCGCGCGTTTTCCATGATACCGTGATGAAAAGCGCGTAATTATTAGAATTCAACGAATCCGCTGAAAAAATCGATTATCTCTCGCGAAATTGAGATGAGATTTGCGTACTTTCTCACTTCAACCAGCAAAAACCAAGCGATCAATTATTCGGACTCCGAAGTAGTTATGTGGTATCACTTGAAAATGAAGGAGAATATTAG